ACCATGACATATTTATATTGAATTTGTATATTAATCAACGGGCTGTCAGTAGTGCAGTAATGCAAGTAGTGCAACCATGACATATTTATATTGAATTTGTGTATTAATCAACGGGCTGTCAGTAGTCTATTTTTTGCATGAATTTAATGTTCTGTTGTGTGTTAGACATCACTAGAAAGATATATATATATATATAAACTGAATACAGTTTAAAGAGAAGAAAATAATTAACATTATTTTGATGTAAAATAATGGAGATATAAGTGTATATAATCTGTCATTTAAACTACAGCAGTATGTTGCTTAGTCCTGTTGGCATAAAAACCTGCAAATTATGCTATTATTCTCTTGATTCTGCCCCGAGCCAGGCAGTGCTGACCAGAGGGGCTAGGGCGGCCTGCGTCACTGCTCCTGCTGAGGGTTGCAGAGAGCAGCTCAGGCACAAACACTCTTCTCTTTCTGTTTCTTGTTCTTGGCACCTCAGCAGCAGGGCAAGGATTTTAGCTGGGCCACTGAGGTCTGTGCTTCTGTCCCAACAAAAGACTATTCATGAAATTGCTGAGTTTTCTTGCTGGGGCTGTCTCTGATGTGAAAGTTTGCAATAAGCAGCAGCAAGGCATATCTGGGATTTTTGCATAGAGGGCATGTAACAGACCTGTTTGGTTCAATTTTCAGTGTGAACCATGGCATAGGTGAAGTTTGTTTCCTTAGCTGAACTGAATGTTATCAGTAAATGCAATTCCAATAAAGTCAAGAGAGTGTTATACCTACTAACAACAGGACCGACAGATGTCTTGTGTCACTTAAGCCTTATTTGTTTAGCTTATTGGCTGAGTCATATTTAAACTACTGTCAGCTCTGTTGGCAGGACGTGGCATCTGTATAATCACTGGAATTGCCAGCTAATTGCTGGTCAGTGAACCTCTGTTACTGGTAATGATGTACACAGCTGCAAGAGCACAGCTTGAGTTTCAGCTATCCAGTTTTGCCAGCAATGCCAGATGAGGTGTGTTCTATTTTGACTTGTCAGCTCAGCAAATGTTCTTAGGAGTTACTGAGGACTAATAAACATGAAAACAGAGCAGATAAGTATGATACTATGACAGTTTCTCCTCCCATTTTCTAAGCTACATGTAAGCCCGTGTTTTACAGTATCTGTGGTATGTCATTTTACTGGTGGAAAGTGCATTCTGTAAAGCTGTATTTTGATCTTAGTCCTTAAGGTTTCTAGAATTCGATTGATGTAAAATATTTCTCAAAAAAAAAAAAACCTAAGGAAAAAGAGAGACTGTATTAGTAAACTTGCTATAAAGTTTTCAAAGGAAAGATGTTTAGATTAACTGTTCCAAACTTAACTTTCCAATTAGTCCCTTGGTAAAAAAAGACTAAACAGATCTTCCTGATTTAACAGATGGAAACAGCTGAAAAGAAATTGCTTTCATTAATCTAGTAATTAAAGGAGAGTAGTTTGCAAAGCCACACAGGAGCAGTACAACTGAGTACAACTAGGCATCCAGGTTTCACCCTGCTCCCCTGAAGCCCTGTCAGTGATATGTTCTTTAGTGCAGCTCTCCTTCACGGCTGCCCCTAGTCGTGTTGAGCACAGGATGCAGCTACAGGTAACTTGTGCTGTTGGAAGGAGTGAGTTGTATAACTCTGGCTCATCCTTTCACCCTCTGCTGTTGCTTTGCAAACGCTTATATCATTATTCATTTGACTTTTAATATTGAAAGTAAATTCCTTCTATCAGTCAGTTGTAGGCTCATTAAAAGACGCGTTCCATCACATTATTCTTTCTTCCTTCACTGCACCGTTAGTGAGTCCCTATTCTGTCCCTGTGTGTGGGCTGAATTTCGTATACATTCTTAGAACCTAACAGTAATGCAGGAATAACTTACTAAATAACTAATTAATTAGTTTTCTCATAATAACTAGTGATCTTCACTCCAGTGAATGATATCAAAAACATTTTCCTAGCAAGCAGTGTGTACCAAGTGGTAGACCTCTGTAAACACACTGCTGTTATCAGTGAAAATGCAAGCATCTTAAAGGATTAGGTATGTTTTCTCTCTATAAAGTTTTCCTATGCTCTATTATTCACTTTTATGCCCTGGAGAGAAGATTGCCTTGACGTAGTGTCACACACATCTGTCTGTGACAGATTCATGTTAGCTCTGTGCATAGTCTAACCCTCTTGCCTGCAGCTGCCTATATGTGCTGTTTGTTTGTACATATGCCCAATTATATAGTGTCTTTCCTACACAGGTTACAAGCCTTCCTGTATTAATAATGTTAAGAAAAAAATAATACAATGTTTATGCAGAATTACAGCATTTGTAGTTACAGAACAGCTAAGGAAAAAAAAAGTGTCTGAGGCAGAATTCTTAGAGCGAGAACATGAGGGTTTCTCATGTTCTTCCCACTTTGAGTTCCCTTCCAGTAATTGATCATAAATGAGATCCACAAGGTGACTCAGATACCCAGTTCCTAAAGTGTGTAACGTGTGTGTGTTAGTGTTATCTAGGTGCTTGGGCACTTCTGTTAAAGAGAGTTTAGGGGTACTCTCTTCTTTCAAATCCTCCCTAAACATGGTTTTCTGTGAGGTTTCTGAGTGCTGATTTATCAGCTACTGAATGTTTGTTTGAAAAGGACAGTATTGGAAGTTTGTGCCTTCAGATGTATGTGCTGTACTTTTTTCCCCCACATAAACCTGTTAGTGATACAAATAGTGTTTGTAACAGTGGAAGATGGTGTTGCTGCTCTTCAGAAATAGGGCTGTTCTGGTCCTTGATTTGGGACTTTGCTTCCATTGCAAAATGGGGAGCCTCTGTGCTCCTACTGAGAGCTGGATTTATCTGGCATGTGAGCGGCTGTCCCTGGATTCCATCCTACATCAAAGAACAGCAGACCTTTGATGTTCCTTCTCTAACGTTTTGTTCTTCTTTTCCCTGTTAACCATTTCACAGGGCAATTATTTCTATCCTCTGGTACTGATGCGTTTGCATAGTTCTGTATGAAAGAAGGCTTAGGCCTCATGCAACACTGTGTGTATGACACATCCATCAGGAGTAATCCATGTGATGCCACTGTAAGACTCTCTTCATGGCCACAGTATGACTGAGTAAAAAATACATGAGTTGCAGGAAAGCAAGATTTAAGCTTCTCAGACACTACTTATCATTCATTCAGTGTATTTTCACTTCTGCATCCCAGCATTTGACTAGTTTTCATTCTGTAAATGATAAAAAGCAGCCATAGAGAAACACAAGATTTGCAATCTGACGTATGCTAAATCCTCATAACTCCTTGAAAGCAGTTAGTGACCAGCTATGAATTTTATTTCTGACTTGCAGAAAAAAAATCTCATTAGTTTTGAGTTTGCTGTCTTATCTCCTTGAAGATGGATGGAAGGAAAGAGCATTAGGACTTCTAGCCATTGCATTTGCAACACCTTTGATAAATATACTTTATACTCAAATTACTATTTCTAAATTACTTAAAATATATGTAATCCAATTGGGAAATAGTTATGTCATTGTCTTCACCCTGATTGGAATTTATCCTCTACTTCATTGCTGGTGTTATGATTTCATTGAGACAAAATTCACTGCAGTGCAGGAAGTCTGGACCCACTTTAACACACAGTTGCAACACTAACACACTTAAGCTGTGCTAATGTTGCAGATGGCCCCGATGTGACGCAAGGGTTTGGCACTGTCATGGGTATCTCCAGCTCATGCTTCTTCAGAAGGAAAGGCAGAAATTAATTTGAATGCAGCCTGGGTGAAGGGCCTTTCTGAGCAGTGAGCAGAGCACTCTCAATACATGTGTTCAGTGTTTAGATAACCCAAATGACTTTATTGTTGTTGTTTGGCGAAGCTTTTAAATTTTGAAATGTACTGGAAAGTGTCTTCAACACAAAACCACTTCTGTTTTATGGTGATTCAGGAATAGAAAACTTACAGCTTCATGTTTTGCCTTTTTTTTTTTTTTTTAAACTTTTGAGACTCTATTGACTGATAGTCTGTAACAGTTTATGGAAAAACTTTAAAAATGTTATCTCATTTTCTTCTAGGTATCCTCATGGGAGCTTTTATAAAAATCATAGAGGCTCAAAAGCTGGCCAACTGGAAGGTATAATTAAAGCAATTCATTGTTCATTGTAGAGCAATCCCTATTTGTTTAAATCCAGACTGTTTATAATATTAAGTTATTTTGACGTCATTTCCAATAGCATATGTACTGTTAGCCAAAGTTTGGAGAGTTTTAATAGTAATGCAACCTGATATTTGGGATCCTAATCCTGCTGCATCTTTTTTATATACTTTTTTCCCCCCCAAATCCTTTGGATGGTACTAAATCTGTTCCTGTTAGATTTATGATAGAAGAAGCTACTGGGCATTTGGCATTGTGGGACCAGATACACTAAAAATGGCATTTCAGTTCTTTGTCTTGTGTACTTCCTGATTATATTAATGTATTTTTTCTTGCTCCTCCTTAGAGAGTTAATTCTATAGGTGTTTTCGTTAGAAGAGATGTGTTTTGATACAGTTCTAGATTCATGTCTTATCTGGAGATGTTAGCAGAGGTTTCACAGAAGAAAAGAGGAACACTTCTTCAGAATGACTCTGTTAAATACCAAAAGGTTTTTTCTTTTTTTAAATTTTACTTACCATTTTCAGCACAGCTTTAAAACTGTAACAAATTATAGTGCTAAGAACAGATGGTTCACAGACCAATCCATTCAGCCTGGCTGGCTGCTTGGGTACCCCAGATTTTCTTCTGCAAATACTGCAGAAAGGAGTCTGCTTAAAGCAGCCACTGTTTTTTTCACTCTGGCTTGTGCCTCACAGCAAGACACGAGCTTTATATCCATCAGAAGTAACTGTGCAGAAGGTTGTTCTTGTCCAAATGCCCAGAGCTTTACAGATTTAGATACTTGAAGGAAAAAGTACAGAGTAGGGACAGACACAAACATGGCAACAGGGGCCCCATCCATGAAGATGTTCAAAAACTGGCTGGACAAGATATCAGGCAACCTAAAGTGCACCACGTTGTCCCTGCTGTGAACAGGGAATTGGATCGGGGACCTCCAGAGGTTCCTTCCAACCCAAATTACTCTGTGAAGCTGTGAGATCTCTTGTCTGTAGAAGCTTCGCTGGAGAGGGAGAGTTCTGGCAGAAATGTCTCCAGGAGGTGAACTGTACAATGAAGCAAGGGCTTTGCCTCCTGTGGTTTTATATATAGCACAAAAGCAGTGAACTCTTTGCTATTTCTTCTTTAATTAAAAATCATACAATATTTAAATTGTGTTATTTCATAGAATCAAACAGTATTTACAATTAAATCAGTGAACTGACCAATCACAGTGATTTGAATCACTGTTTTTAAACAAGATTTGTATTAACAAGCTTAAAATCTTGATCCAAGTAGTGAATTTTAATCCTAGCTTGCAGTTTGCTTCTTCTTGGCAGTTATTTCTATAAAGGAGTTTTTTTGTTTGTTTGTTTTTCTTTTCATTAGTTGAAATACATTGAAGTGCACAGATTTTCAACAAAACGTAGCTTTTAAATTAAAATTGGGCTATTCTGGTCAAGTAATTCAGTGTGCATTCATTTAAGCAATCACCTACTTCAGGACACAAGTTGGGCTATTTAGTTTGTACATACACAAACGGGAGAGGGTGGGGCCTGAGTTACTGTTAGATGATGTTTTTGCATTCCTGACCTTTGTGAGCTGGATTTGACTTAGAATTGGAAGTCAGTTAAAAATCCACAAAATTAGCATTTTGGAATAGCTTCTTACTGGTTAAATAACCTGAAGTGGATTAAGTTTGTAGGAAGAAAAGGTTTGTGATATGCTTTGTATTGAGCAGTGATCTTGTAAACGTGGGAAATACTGACACACTGAATTGCCTAATTATTTCTGGCCAGTTATTCAAACCTTGAAAGGCACTGGGTATGATGCCTAGAGTTGCTCATATTATCAGCTTAGATAAAAGGTCCCAGATAAGACATTCTTATTTGATTACTTAAGTTCCTTTTACTGTATTAAAGTTTAGACAGCTACAATTTTAGGTGAAATATTATAATTAACGATGACAATTATGTACTTTCTAAATTGAAACTTGAATCATTTTAAATGTTTTTAAATTTGCCAGAGAGTTTGTATATATCTGATGAAGGAAAAAGAGTATTTGACTGCAGGTTTTATCTATGTGAAAAGCAATTCTTAGATCACATTCCTGCCCTAAGAACTTTGTAACATAATTTCTTGCTGTCCTGTTTTCATAGGTGGTCACTGGACCTTGTACTTGCTGGAGATTCTTGTTGGCTGATATTGCAGGCTTCATATTTTGCTTTTCCAGTCTTTGCTTCTACATAGCATAAATTCACTCCTTCCTTTTCCTTATTTCCCTTCTGCTTGTCCAAAACCCTGCTTTTCAGATGTAATCAATTAAGAATTATTATTATTATTATTATTTTAGTCTAATGCAGTTACTGAAATGCCAGGAACTGGACAGTGCTATCCATGCACTGATTAAGGGGCTATATTGCACTGCTGGGGAAAGCACCTCAGTGTAAGGGATGGGTTTTATTTTCTGAAGCCCCTGAATCCTTTAAGATGATTACCACTGTTGCAGATATGAGCGAGTCTTTGAAGATTAGTGTTTCTGTTTTTGAGTGATGT